CTTCCTGGTCACCGAACCCTTCTCCAAGTGTATAGAAACTTGGGCACCCTCCAATGACCTCCAAGAACCAGGCGGATGACTGTAAACTTTCAGCCCTAGAACCTCCTCATGCAGTTGGCTGAACTAGAACCACATGAGGGACACGCCAAACAATGGCCCGCTCTGATACCAAGTTGAAAAACAGCCCACTTGATGTATGGAACTGTTTGAGATTGGATGCAAACCAGAAAATAAACAAACAAGAGAGGAAGAGAAGAGAGAGTTGGCGGCAATGAGTGTTAGAGAGTAAGAGGTTCGAACATAACCCCTCTCTAACACTCTAAACATCTTTTTAATAAGTTAATCTTTGACAAATTACAGAGAGGCCCTTGAGTGGGCAGGAAAATACAAAAAACAGAACATTACAAAGTTTGGGCCCAGAATAAGGCCCACAACAGAGAGAAACATAACATAACATGAAATGACGGTCTATGGGCCATTCGGCCCATCTTCTCTACAGGTTGTCAAGCAGCCTAGTCTGACACTCTCCAAAGATCCCTTAACAGGATTTCTTGAAAAAAGAAAGTGCTCTAGAAATAACCATAAACCTTTTTTGCCAAATATATTTTTAGGCTTAACTGCTTAAGAGTATAGTTTTTTGGTGCCTTGATAGAAAGTTTAAAAGTTAACTGTGAAGATAACCTTTCGGCTATAATTTTTATTTATCATATTAAGTGACAAGGAGTACATAAGAGGATACATATTGAAAAGCTATACCACCAACCACAAAAATTAAATGGAAATAGAACTGTAGTCATATAAAAAGGCTCTCCTTAACCCAAAACTTGCAAGCTCAACTACCTAGGTATCCAACATTTGACAAACCTTCTCACTTTAATTTGACCTCATTGAGCAATCATCTTACCATAGTTGTCAAGGCGATGTCTAGGCAACTAAGTGCCACAGAGGGTGACCTCACTTAAACACCTAGTTATTTTCTACATGATGCTATAAAATACTTTTTTTATTCTTTACTTTTGATRTTATAATAATAAAATAGATATTACTGATCAAAATTATTCATTTATGGGTTCGTATACTATTTTCTTTTTATTATGTTCTTATTCGTTAGGGTTCAATCAACACACATGTTGGTGTTGTATGCTATCTTTAACCCTTGAAGACTTCAAAACTTAAAGTTTCTTCATCTTCCTCTTTTTTCTTTTTTTTTCTTTTCCCAAGACAAAAAGGGGCCAGCTCCTATATTCTCTAAATTTTCTTTTCTTCCTTTGTTTTCTTCTCGTGAATAAGTTGATTTTCTATGTTTCAATGTGAAGTTTACAGCTTTTTTTATGAAGATTATTGATAACCACTAGTGAAAGATGATTGTCGGTTGCTATGGAACCTATGGAATTAGCCTAGTATTCAGGGTTTTATTAAAAAAATGCTAGGCTGACACTCAGGCACCCACCTGGGAACTAGGTGACATGGCACCCCCCGGTCATCTAAGCTCACCTTGGCAACTTGAAAACTATGAGCTTGACAAGTGCTTCAAAGAATTTGCACTTACTTGTGCTAATGTCATATCCAAAGGGTTCCTAAGCTGCATTACCCAATAGGTTCTGTACAAAATAGGGGAAAAGTAATCACAACATGCTGCACTTCAGGACATTAGAACTTAATAAGACAGATGACAGGGTACGAGAAAAGAGGGATTCATACACCTTAGACTAGAAAAGAGGAAAAACTAAAACCTGTGGTCAAAACAATGAATCAAAACATATTCCTCACAGAATTTCTGAACCATCTATAACAAAATAACTATATATCTTCGGAACTTTATTTCTGAGTAATAACTAAGAAACAATGGAATCCCAAGTTTGACCCTTCCAATATAACACTACATTGAAAGTGATGGTCATTTTTATAAATTTTGAGAAATACCATAACAAATAGATTTTCATATCCTAGTAACCAATAAATCTTGCAACCATCAATATTTCTTCTTTTTTGGTTAACAAAACAGTCTAAGCTAGCCAACCCCATATAGTTGGGATAAAGCATGGATGGGTTGGACCAGTCTAAGCTGGATGAATTGGACCAGACCATACATCTAATCATAGGAGCCATACCAAGCAAGAAGAACCAGACCAAAGTAGGCTTGAGACACCAAGGCCCTGGGACATGAGAATTCAAGATTTAAGAGAAAAATAACTACCAATAAAAAACTATGGGTGAGCTTTTTCTTATACAGTACGTAATAGTTATACCATACTATTTTTTTTACTTTTGTATAGACAGATCACAAATGATAACAACCTCCAACCTGCAGTAGTGCACTCCTATTGCTTGATAGACTTTCATGGTGCATGACCAAACTGTCCCAAGTGACTATTTAATCATATTAGTTTGAGCTCCTCAGTTCCTTCTGTGCTCTCACTTGTAATCTTCTTTAATCGTACCCTTAATCTACGTTAACTCCTTATCTTAGACACTCTTGGATTGCCAAACATTTTGCTCCATGAAGTTTACCCAGACTTATGTGAAGGTTTTTTTTTTCTTTCCTGGCTCCATGGGGCTACACAACTGGGGGGCTAGCTCATACCCCAAACCCATAACCCCCCAACCTTGGTGCAGGAGGGATTCAATCCCAAGTCTCCATTACAACTGGCCAGAGATAAGAAGTTAATAGTAAGATATCATAAGAGCAAGAAAGAAACAAGGCATTCTGCCCCATGATGCTTACCCAGTCTTATGAGAAGTATATTGAATGGGCCATTACCCGATGTCTATCACAACTATAGTGGATATAGGGAGGGGTAGACAGGATATAGACCTAACATTTGGCCTTTTTGCACACAAAACGACTGCTTTCAATCTCAAAACTGTGTTCTCACACTTGACAGCCCAATATATAAGAGAAAATATAGAACTGGATAAGAAAAGGAACGAACACACATAATGAGACACTTATAGGTTAAACATTAACCCATTACCTCTATTTCTTCTCCTTATCTGGGATTTTTGGGCACATAACCCAAAAGAACTAAAGAAAAAGCAAAAATCCTTAATCAAGGGAGTCACATACGTTTAAACAGGAAAACATATACTGCTAGCTGATGCAGCAAATAGCATTCACCTAGGTCCTTGGAAGTTGGAATGTCTTGCAATGGTGAGTTTATGGAAATAGATTCAATCATGGAAATCCCCATTAGCCATCTTTTACTGAAAGAGCAATTCATAACTTGAACGCATAGTATATCAAAACTATAATCTGGAATTCAATTATTGTTTCATGGTGCAACCTATCTCCCAAGAACTGTTCCATAAGGTAGGAATTTTCCACCTTAGGATGTAATTTCACACCACAGGTTACAGCTGAGGCTTGAGTTATATCCCCCCACCCCTCCAATGCTTTGTTTTTTATGTTTAACTTTCAGGATGGGATTGGTTATTAATGAAAATCGTTGCTTTAGTGGCATGCAGGTAGATGATCTGGGGGAATAATCTCCAGGGTGACTGGAGGCATCAGTTCAAAGTTCAACTAGGTTAACAAAATTTCTTTTCTGCACAAAAACATTAAAAAAAAAAAGACAAATTCTTTGCACCAATACTAGGGAATTAACCATAAATATCCCTAGCATCAGACAGTGAATGAACATAAAGGGAAATTAGACAAATTATCATGGCCCAAGCCCAAGAGATAAAGTAAAAGGAATTCCCCCTCAAACAATGCACCCACTAGAAATAGTAAAGACAAGGACATAAAGCCATTTATCCTCAAAACTCTACCATTAACATATTCTGCTTATATTGACCAGGGTAGAGTTTTGGAACAGAAGGAATATTGTTTTCTTGTTTTTGGATTCCATTTTTAGGCTTATGGATATTTGTCCTATTTATTTCAGCAATAGCAGTACTAGTAAAGAGAAACTCATATAAGTATGTACTTATTTATTTGTTTGTTTATTTGTTTTTTGTCTGTGAATATGAATGCATTTATGTGCATAGATAGATACAGAAGTGTGTGTGTGTGGGTG